TAGTTTATACGTTAACACTGTTAAGGAAAGAATATTCTCTATTTGAGTGCAAGTCCTCTGTACATTGCAAGGATTAAAAGCATCTCACTGCCTTTCCTCTGTCACCTGAACTGGACTGACATTATCATATATAAGGTTCAAGTAGTCCACACTAACATACATATCTAACATTATATCATTTCTAACACAGAAATTAAACCACATTTCTCAGGAAACAGAAAATATCAGCTGCTTTCAAATGCTAACCTTAAGGGACAGAACAACCTAAACTGCCAAACAGGAACATTAGGCAAAGAAACTCATGGTACTACCAAACAGAAGACAGACAAATCAGATTATTTACTTTGGGTTTGCCATCTTTATGTTTCAATGGATAGCCTTAGGTCCTGTGTTAATTTGTTACAAGCAACTTCAAAATGACAAGGGAAAGGAGCTGGAATTTGTAGAAATGGACAGGAGTTAAATTTGTTTTCATATTTCTAAAAGAGCGCTTAGTGTTAACTTTCTTTGCAGAAATTAAAATATAAATAATAGAACAACAGTTCTTAAGTGAATATAGCAAAACAATAGTCACTTTTTTACTTTACAGACAGTGTACTTAATTTCTGGTTCCTGCTGCAAATTTACTTAAAACACATCTCCTAATTATAAGAACCTTGCTTCCCATGTTTCCATATAGGCCTCTGTGGATTGCTCATACAGTCCTCCCTCTGGGGTACAGCAATGCACTGGCACTGCTCCCACTCTTCCCTCAAGAACCGAACTCTCTTCGGAAACAAAACACTGCAGAAACCAAATAAGCAGCGAGGAAAAAATCGATCCACCTGGCAGCACCTTTGCAGTTACCTGCAAGGCTCAGCAGCCTTTTCCTAAGCCACTTCACTGCGGGAGAGGGAGACAGCAGGGAAGGTTTATTAGAACACGGCGCGTACGGAACCGCCGGCCGTGCGAGGCTGTCAGGGGACCCCACCCGGCCAGGGGGCTGGGACCGCCCGCCACCTCCGGAGCACGGGGGCGGCCGGCGCGACCCCGAATCAGCTCAGGAGGGCAAGTGGAGCTCCGGACTG